CAAAGCTGTGGGGAATCAGGAACTGGTTTCAAATAGGCTGTGGCACCTGTGACTAAAAATGTGGTGATGACTATGAGATGGGGCATGCAGGTAGAGAAGACTTTTGACCTCCCTTTTAAGAAGGGCATTCTCAATACTGTGTTGAAAATGTAAACATATGAAAACCCTATGGACACTAAGCAGAAAAACCGATACATGAGTGCTAAGGTGAGACTAAAGTCAATAGTGACATGCATATTGGAGCAAGAAATCTTCAGTAGAGAGGGGACATCACAGAAGAACTGTGGCACTTTTCTGGTATCACAGAAAGATAAAGAAAATGTGCCATATGAATATAAGACCCCAAAGAGACTTCCAAATAGCCATGAGGCAGCTACCATCTGCATACAGACTGCCCTGTTCATGATGGCATCATAGTGTAGCGGGTGACAGATGGCCACATAGCGGTCACAGGACACGGCTGTGGGGATGGAAATTTCAGTTACAACAAAGGAATCCACGAAGAAGACCTGACACGCACATCCTGAGAAAGAGATAGCGCTCCTGTGAGACAAAGAGCTGAGAATGAGCTTTGGGACTGTGACTGAAATGAGGCACACATTGAGGAAGGACAAGTTCTTCAGGAAGAAGTACATGGGGGTGTGAAGACACTGGTCCACAGTGACAAGCATGATGATGAGAAGGTTCCCCATGAGGGACACCAAGTAAATCAGCAGAAACAGAAAGCCCTGGAGCACCTGGAGCTGCTTGCTGTCAGACAGTTCCATGAGGAAGAAATCTGTGTCTACCGTGTGGTTGGTCATGTTATTGGCCGATCACCTACTGTGAGACAAAGGAAGGAAAAGATATAAGTGAAGCTCACACTGAGCCTTCCTCTTAGTAATAATGCATTTTATTTCTGTAAGATGCAAAGTACTACATTATTACTATAAAAGATGAACATTTTACTATCCTAAATACATATATGTTCTTCATGTCTCAATATGTCTCAATATGTCTCTTTCAATATGTATTACAGTGCTAGTAACAGAGTGGGAGAGTTTGAAAATTTCAAACAATTTTAGTGGACATATTTATATATATGCAAGATATTTATAAAATTTATCATGAATTAAAATTCTAGGTAAGTATATGGATAAGATTGATTTTGAGAGGATAATATAGTCTGAATACTTTTTGAATAGGTCATGTTTCAGACCTTATGTTATATATACACAGGCCACAAAATAATTGATTTTCTTATTTGTTTTACACACATGAGCAAAATGGGTTGGCTATGACCTTGCATTCAAGACCCAAAGTTCTGAGTTTACTGGGGATGAAAGATAAATGACAGAAAAATTGAAAAGGAGATTAATAATTGTGTGGTCATATCATTAGAGTAAAAATACATGGTACTAATTCATAAGTGAGAGCTGGGTATGGTTATGGAGAAATATTATCCACTCTTAACACATCAATCTCCCCTCAATCTCTCTCTCCTTTTCCTTGCTCTCTCCCTCTCCCAATGACAGATGGACAGACATTCATCATCTCACAAATGATATTTATACTACTATAACATCCAGATGGAAACAAATTATACCAAAAAGCTCAATGCCAAGTAAATTAGCTCTAACATGTAGGATGAGATCAGTGGTGCATTACGACACTGGGTAGAGATTAAATCTTCTATATTGGTGAGTATAGTGTTATGTGAGGAATACTGCAATGCAGTAAATATTCTGTGGAGGATACAGAGTAAGTTGAGTTGAATTGAAGAATGAAAGACCTTTCATAATAAACTAGATATTTAGCTTATCAATTACTTTCTAAAAGCAGAAACAACATGCTTGCTAATTCCCTCAACTATGTCCTGTCCAACTTTTTGCATAAAAGACAGAATTTAATACATGTTCCAAATAAGACAACAGATTTTTGTGAATCTCGTATTTAAATGGTAGAACACATGAGAAAGCTAGGGACTGACCTTTTCAAATCAAAAGAGTCCGCCAGGAAGCTGATGGTGTATTGATTGTCTCATGTGAAGATTATAAGAAATTGATGTTTCTGACAGGTGATTTGCCTTCAGCAGGAATACAGTGTGAGATGGAGGGAAGAGTTTGCTTATTCTAGCTGTTTAGAGTGAGCAGGAGACACAGTGCTATGGATGGAGAGGACCTGCCCGACAGTGAGAAAAACTGAGAACTGTTTTTGCCCCTGAAGACTCTGCAGGAAGCCGTGTTCATTACTGTATTCTTCATCATGCTGTCATTGAGTTTGTTTGTGAGAAAATATTTCTTCTTCTAGTTATTAAGCTTGTGGTGCATAAAAGATCCAAAACATTCTGAAAAACAGTAATTTTTAAAATATATTTCCCAAAGGCTTATCAATTATAGGTTTTATAAATCCTATGAAATAATACAGTTGGGACTGGAGAGATGGCTCAGAGGTTAAGAGCATGGACTGCTCTTGCAGAGGACGTGGGCATTATTCCCCTCACCCACAAGACAGTTAACAACCTTCCCAAACTCTAGCTCTCACCTCTGTGGGAATAGCAGTCATGTCATTAACTTACATGCATGCAGGCAAAATACTCATACAAAAAAAAAATAATAAATCTTGTGATCCAATTACACCACTCCTTGACATATACCCAAAGGACTAACTCCAATGTAGGGATACCTATACCTCAGTGTTTGTTGCTGTTCTTTTCAAAATAGCTAAGAAATGGAAACAACATAAATGTCCCTCAACTGATGAATGGTATTGAAACTGTGGCACATTTACACAATGGAGTTCTTCTCAGCAGAAAGTTAAGTTTAAATTATAAAGTTTTCAGGTAAATGGATGGAACTAGAGAATATCATACTAAGTGAAGTAATACAAACCCAGAAAAGCAAGTGATGTATGTTCTTCCTCATTTGCAGATTGTAGCTCCAAACCCTTATATGTGAGTGTATAAATTCTGATGTAACACCAGGAACCTAAAAAGGGAAAGGATACACGCTGGTAAAAAAAAAAAAAAAAAAGAAAATACCTGAAAGGGGGATATTAGGGAACAGATGTTACCCAGGGGGAGGTCAGGAAAGTCAGTGTTCAGCAGGGAAGAGAGGAGGGAAGAACATGGACAGGGTCATGGTTTGTGGGTGGAGGGAAGTCAGGAGACAGGGGATGGTGGAGCGTGGTGTTATTTGGGGTGTGTGGGGATAATGGGACTGCTGGGACTGTGGAGGGAAGAGAGAGACAGGATGGGAAATAAAGAGTAGACTTGAATGAATCTTGGAATGCTAGGAAACCCAGAGAAAAATGTGATGCCCTTGAAACTTCATGAGAAATATACATACTGTCTGAACATTAGCATAAATATTTACACCTGAGAACACAGTGTCAGATAGAAGAGACCTCCGTTCGAGTGATTGGTGAGGGTTGCCCGGGAGACATCCTAAAGTAACACAGGTTATTGCCAAACATCTTGTTTATCTCCCAGAACTAGTAGATAAGACCTTACGGCTAAAGACAGGATATACTTCAGATACAGGACTTGAAGCAATGGAGCAGGAGTCGACCTGGAAGCCATCTAACCGATGTTTGACTATAATAATCCTAGATGATGATATGAAAACTGCATTGGAAGAAAAAAAATCAATGGTTCAACTCAGTCCTTAAAGCCTAATAATTATAACGACTGGTTTGGGAAGCTACCCCTCTTGATGCAGTAATGGCATTTTTATCTGGAGGCAATCAACACCTACCTAATTGAATTTAAATCCCTCTCAAAGGAAAGGAATTCATGAGTGGAACTGTAAATTCAGCCAAATACACATGGCAGGAGAGGACATACATCCCAGAGAAAACCCTATCTCTTTCATCTCTCTAGACAAATGAAACTTCTTACCTTATGCTAAATATTGACCGTTATATTTACAGACAAGCATACCATACACCACTCATCATAGTAGCTTGTTTTTGAAAAAGATGGAGACAACTGCAGAGTTGCACAAGTGCTCAGACACAGAGTATGCGTCTGAGAGATGCCCAGTACTAGGTGACACGTCTATATTTAAACCTGTACAACTAGGCTCATGGAACATAGCAGAACAAGGGGTAGAGAGAAAACTAATGAATCCCTTAACTCTCACCAGTAAAGTTTCCTTATACATCAGAGTGTGATGTACACAGAAGGCCACAGCTGACTAAGTTTTAAAGAATAAGAGACTGCGGAGTGTGCATACTTGAATGGGCTCCTATAGTGAACCTTATCCACCCACAGCTCAGGGACAATTGAAATGACAAGTATATTAGATACATGAAATCAGTAGAGGAAGTTAGGCAGGTAGCCTTAACTGCTTTATGCTCATAAGAACACTGATACAATTCCATGTTTGTAGATGCCATTGTCCCAAGTGACTTGGATACTGTGCTTCAGCCCTGTTTAGGCCCCTCAACAATCCTTTCACCTTAGTACGGCTATTGCTCCCATATAGTGTATCATGAATCTGGAACAGAAAGCTTCAAATTTATTCATCTGCACACACATGAACCATGGGAGAAGATGCCTGTCAGTTATCTGTATTTGCCCTCAGTATCTTTATTGTTCTATATGATGATTCATTGTTGAATTTTAATATATTTTTACTGGCATGAGTGTTAGATGACCTCTTTTTTTCTTTGCAATACTATTAAACATAGCTCTATGAGCAGATTAAAACATGGTGTGCAGGCAATATGTTCCTGTACGTCTCAAAAATGACCATTTGACAGTCGTACTACAGGATACTGGATCATGGTTCCAAACAGACAAGTACTTTGAACTCTTCCAGTATGACTTCCAGGAATCACTTGGCAAAAGACAGGTGTCAAAATCACACAATAGAAGGATGTAAGAAATCTTTCTCTGCTGGGTGGACCTCTGTGAGTTCAAGGCCAGCCTGGTCTACCTAGTGAGTTCCAGGACAGCTGGGACTACAGGGAGATCTTGTCTCAATAAAGATTAAAAAGAAATCATTCTCTGCTGGGGGAAAAATTTATTATCCATCTGGGAACCCTGTGAACTGCAATATTGACCATGGTGACAAGACACAGTTATGGGTGAAATAGTTACCCAAGTGTTATGGGGATAACCAACTACTTTCTAATTAGATTGAAGCCCATACCACTTAAGAAAACACAAGCCTGGTTTTGTAAATCTGACCCAAAACCCAAGGTTATGGGGTTCATAAATCCCAGTTGTGAACCTATTACTATTATTCTGTTAAATGGACTTAGTGTCAAATGGCTCTCTAAATCTGTGCCTTTATGCTTTTTTTTTTTTTTCGTATTTTTGAGACAGGATCTTCCTTAGCCCCAGCTGGCTTGAAATCCTTATGTAAATCAGGCTGGCCTTGATCTCACAGAGATCTGCCTGTCTCTGCCCACTAAGTCCTAGGATTGATGGTGTGCATATCCAACACCAGCAAATGTGTATCTTTCTATCCAGAGATTAATGAAGATCATGGATTGTGGGGAGCCGCCTGCCGTCCCTGCAGACGCCATTACAAGATGGCGCTCACATCCGGTTCATGCTGAGCAGTAAATAAGTCAGTACGCATGCCCGAAGTAATTTTCCACCTTCTAGTCTCTGCCTACCTCGTGGCGTGATATGGGCTGATGAGTTTGCGACCAATCAAGAGTTGCCACGTCCAAGACGGGCTTACTAACCTATATAAGGGCTGGGTTTCCGACATTCGGGGTCTTCGCCCTGTAAGCTTATGCTCTCCCTCTCAAGATGCATTAAAGCTTTTCTGCAGAAGGATCCTGAGTGTGCCGCGTCATTCTTGCTGGC